CTGAAGTTGTGACTTCCAACTAATGTAAGTATTTTCTATGCAAAAGTGGATTTTCTATTACCAGTGTTCAAAGCAAAGTCTAAATCTACATAACATTTCAATTCAAGGCCAGTTTATCAGTTTTAAACATCAGTCCTATGTTCTGAGTTCCTTTTAAATATCTGATCAGGTTTTTCATAGCTTCCCAATAAAGCTCACCTGGGTTGCTCATAAATCTACTTAGGACACTCACAGCAAAAGCAATATCAGGCCTAGAACACACCATGACATACATGACAGACGCAACAGCATTGACATGTGGTACATTTAACATTCTTTTCCTTTCATCTTCACTTTTAGGTGAATGATCAACAGATAATTTCACATTTCCAGACAAAGGTAAACTAACAGGTTTTACATCATGTAAAGAAAATCTTTTAACCACTTTTTCAATGTAAGCATTCTGAGTTAAAAACTGTATTCCACTAAGTCTGTCCCTTTTTATTTCCATACCAAATATCTTCCTAGCAGGTCCTAAATCTTTCATATCAAACTCGAGTTTCGGTTTTTCTTTTATAACACTTACAACAGCAGAATTATGACCAGCTAGTAGCATATCATTAACATACAATAGCAGATATAAGGATTCAAATTTTCCATCATTTTTGAAATAAAAACAGGGATCAAACTCAGATTTTCTGAACTTCAAACCTTGTATAAAATAATCAAATATTTTGTACCATTGCCTTGGAGCCTATTTTAGGCCATACAAGGACTTATTCAAAAGGCACACTAAGTGTTCCTCACCTTTAACTTGGAAGCTTTTTGGTTGTGCCATATATATGGTTTCATCTAAAGAACCATACAAGAAAGCTATTTTCACATCAAGTTGCTCTAGTTCTAAATCAAATTGAGTTACAAGGGCAAGTAAAATTCTAATAGAGGTATACTTCACTACAGGTGAAAAAAACTCGGTGTAATCTATGCCCTCCCTTTGTGTAAACCCCTTAACTACAAGTATAGCATTGTATCTCCTATCATTTGATTTATATTCTCCCTCTTTAAACTTGTAAATCCACTTACAATCAATCAGTTTATAGTCTTTGGGTCTTTCAACTAAATTC